TACATTTAAATGATGCCAAATTTTTACTTGATTATTGATTAAAATTGGGCCGGCTGTGCGTGCACAGCCGATAGCCAACTAGTTTTTTGTATATCAAAATATCATTTTCCCATACTTTAATTCTAGTTATTCATTATTCACTTTTCATTCAATTTCCAATAATTATAACTATATAAAATAAAAATCAATTTTCAGTTTTTCTTCACGGAGCTCGCCGTCTCTATCACCGCCTTTCTTCCGCTTAAACGCGCCTTATCCTTCTCATCCCTGCGGCTTTGTTCTGCCAATCCGCTTATTAGAGCTAACAAATTCCGGCGAAATCCATCAGAGTCTGCTCTGCAAATCATGGCGACTGCTTCAGGTAAGATCTTCCTTCTCCTAATTTCGATCATCGTTCTAATAAGTGCAATTTATTCGACTAACGATTTTTCCATTCATAACTGATAGCTTACTTTGTGCCTCCTTCGATTTTGTGTTCTTAGTGAAATTTTAATAGGACCCGTCCTCACTCGCTTCAATTTTGTTATTTTTTTTGCCAAGAAAGGGTTAGTTTATGACCTTGATTGAGTTAGGGTTTCCAGACTCAACAGGCTGCTTAAGTTAATCGCTTGTGTAATTCGTTTGTTGTCCTGTTAGACGTTCGAGAAAACGGGTCTAGGCTGTGTTCTTCTTTCTGGATTCCTTACTTTATTCGTTATGGAGAAAGCACAAGGGATCTTATAATTGTTGTTTCTGGGCGTAGTTTCTTGGATTTGGTCTAAATATTTGATATTTTTGGTTTGGGAATTTCAGTGGCTTTCAAATCGAGGGAGGATCACAGGAAACAGCTCGAACTAGAGGAGGCGCGTAAAGCGGGTCTTGCGCCAGCTGAAGTGGATGAAGATGGAAAAGAAATCAATCCTCACATTCCACAGTATATGTCATCAGCTCCTTGGTATCTCAATGCAGAGAGACCGGTATGTTACGTTGTTATATTTGATTTAGTGTTGCTTTCTATTCTTTGAGCATTATTTTGTTAGAGACTGGTATATTAGTTGTTTTATTTCACAGTAGCCTTTCTTTTTATGTTTGTTCAGAGTTTGAAGCATCAAAGGAAGTGGAAATCGGATCCAAACTATACTAAGTCGTGGTATGATAGAGGTGCAAAGACTTTTCAGGCGGACAAGTACAGAAAGGGTGCTTGTGAAAAGTATGTGAAATTACTTTGTTTATGTATGTCTGTATGTATGGGTCTTTGGATAACTCTTGTTTATTCTTGTCATCCCTTTTTTTTTATTGTTATGAAAAAATCATATTTTATTGCAGTTTTGGTGATATTTAATTTATGAAATGCTTTAATTAAGATATTCATTAGTTAGGAGGGTTTGTCTTTTTAGCGTTCAAAGCGATACGTATTGTTGCCTGTTGGATACTTATTATTCACTTGGCTGTTGATTCGCATGGCATGCGTGATACTGCATCATAGCGATTTCTGATTGACTGATACTACAGTTGTAAGAATAGTGGCTGTGATTCTTTGATGCTACTCTGGGTATGGGTAAAGAAACCCGTAGCTACATGATGCCACATGCTATTTTATATGGGTATTTTCAGTTTGTTCTCCACTTCTCCTTGTCTTGCACATTTAATTTTTTTGGTGATTTTCGTTGTGATCGTAATATGTATTCAGACTAGGTTGAACCATGGGAGAGAATTCTAACCTGGCTGATTTTTATGACCGTGGCTGAAAGTATTTAGGGACTAACATTCATCGACTTGATATTTCCTTTTCTTAAAGCGAAAAATGAAGAACAAAGAAAGTTGACACTGTGGTTTTAAGTTTTAACTCTGAACTTGTTTCCTTACTACAGCTGTGGAGCAATGACTCATGATAAGAAGTCATGCGTGGAGAGGCCACGCAAATTGGGAGCTAAGTGGACTGGCAAAAGTATTGCCCCGGATGAGAAGATAGAGTCCTTTGAGCTCGATTATGATGGAAAAAGGGATCGTTGGAATGGTTATGATGCTGCATCTTATAAACATGTAATTCAGATGTATGAAGCCAGGGATGAAGCAAGGAACAAATATTTGAAGGAGCAACAACTTAAGAAACTGGAAGAGAAAAATGGTAATCAAAATAACGAAGAGGGGGTTAGTGATGATGAAGATAACGATGATTCACTGAGAGTTGATGAGGCTAAAGTTGATGAGAGCAAGCAAATGGACTTTGCGAAGGTTGAAAAGCGTGTGCGCACAACTGGTGGTGGTAGCACTGGAACTGTTAGGTATTATAATATATGTTTGTGTATATACTGCTGTTACTTAGTTACTTACTCTTTTATGAATTTCTTTGAAGTAACTCCTGACATATTGTAGTATTGTTGTATGCTCTTGAGGGAGGATATTAGGGTTTTATCCTAAATGCAGGTTGCACTATACACTTTTACTGAACTGACAATTGAAATATCACGATTCGTCGTTTTTGTCCAGGAACTTGCGTATTAGAGAGGACACTGCAAAATACCTTCTTAATCTAGATGTTAACTCTGCCCACTATGACCCGAAGACCCGTTCTATGCGTGAAGACCCTCTTCCAGATATGGACCCTAATGAGAAATTCTATGCTGTAAGTACTTAAATTGGGTTTCAATAATTAGTTCTTCTGCTTTTCATGTGTCCTTTTGAATTTAGAATAGCTCGATGATGTTTTCTTTGTGGTATAGGGTGATAACCAAAACAGAATTAGTGGCCAAGCTTTAGAATTCAAGCAGCTCAATATTCATGCTTGGGAAGCATTTGACAAGGGTCATGATGTTCATATGCAAGCGGCTCCCTCGCAAGCTGAATTGCTTTATAAGAACTTCAAGATTAATAAGGAGAAGTTGAAGTCTCAAACTAAAGATACAATTATGGAGAAGTATGGTAATGCTGCCACAGATGAGGTTCTTCCCCGGGAACTCTTACTGGGCCAGAGTGAGAGAGAAGTTGAATATGACAGAGCTGGTAGAATCATAAAAGGCCAGGTATGAACGAGCATTCTTCTCCTGTCAATCATTTATAAGATTAGCGGGGTTTATTTCTTAATAATAACTGAAGACAGATCTAACTATTATTTTTATCGTAATCCGACTGTAATGAGGGCTGGGCAGCATAATTCGTTAAATAGATTGTCTCTTCATGTAATTATCTCATTTCTTATTTGCTCTGCACAGTGGGATTAGTAGCATATTGTGGGTTTTAGATGTATAGTTGTCAGATTCTTCTTGCAACTGTCATTATTTGGGTCAACTTTCATTTATCTTTTTGGATGGAGTCCCTGAGAATGGAAGCAAGTGTAAATTTTGGGATATTGTGGCGACCTTTGCCCCTTCCCTTGTCACATAAAAGTGTTCCGAATTTCAAAATCTTAAAAAGCCATGAAGCAATTAAGTGCAAAAAAACTTGATATTCACAAACACATTTTTCTTTTCCTAAGCAGACATTGTTTGCATTCTGCTTTATCCTTTCCTGGTAAATTTCTTTAGTGTGGATTTTTAACAACAACTTGAATGCATGGGGATCTTCACAGGAGATGTCACTTCCGAAAAGCAAGTATGAAGAAGATGTTTACATTAACAACCATACAAGCGTGTGGGGCTCATGGTGGAAGGATCATCAGTGGGGTTACAAGTGTTGCCAGCAGACGGTTAGGAACAGCTACTGTACAGGTGTTGCTGGTATTGAGGCTGCCGAGGCTGCATCAGATCTCATGAAAGCCAATATTGCTCGCAAAGAAGCCAATGAAGGTAAAGATTGGTTTTCTACTTATCTTCCCTTAAACTGCTACTATACATGAAGCATGTTTTGTAGCATGCATCTTTTTCTTCTTTTTGTACTTCCTAACATTATATATATAACAGAATCATCAGCACCGGCTGAAGAGAAAAGGATGGCGACCTGGGGATCCGAAGTGCCTGATGATCTTGTTTTGGACGAGAAGAAGTTGGCTGAAGCACTTCAGAAGGTAAAATTATCAGTTCTGATTGTTAATTTTATTATCACTTCATTTGTTGTGGATTTTTGGTGGGTGAAACATGTGCTTTATTTGGGTGAAACCTCACACACATATATAGTGCCTGAAATATTGTTCCTTGTACCTGTGGCAGGAGGATGAAAGGAGGAGAGAAGAACGGGATGAAAGGAAGAGAAAATACAATGTGAAGTGGAATGACGAGGTGCGCTAACTAACTGTTTATATGGTTGACTTTTCTCCTTTTTATTGTACTGTGTGCTATGTTTGGTAAACCTAGCTCATAAACTAGCTTATAACTTTTAAATGAATTTTGAGTTTATAGCTGATAGCTTATGATAGCTTCTGACTTTATGACTGAAAAGTTAGCTTATATGATAAGCTAGCTGAAATAAAAATTTCAATGGGCTTATTTGAAAAGCTACCCAAAGAAACTTGTGAGATAAGCTCGTCCTATGAAACCAAATTTATTTGAATATAGGAAGCTTATAAGCTAATCAGGTATAAGCTAAGCTTATAGGCTTCCCAAAACATAGTCGAAGTGATTCTGACTAAATTTTTTTGGGCGGTGCAGGTTACTCCTGAAGATATGGAAGCTTATAGGATGAAGCGGGTTCATCATGACGACCCAATGAAAGACTTCTTGCACTGAACTAAGTTATTAGATTTGGAAAAACTCTAGTGTGGTTGTGGTGTGAAGCTATTTAGTTCTTCAGACATAAAAGTGTTGTTACAGGTTCATAAACTTCAGTTTGAAGCTGAAAATTAAAAAGAACGTATCGAATGTATTCTGAAATATTGTCTATGGCGTGCACTCGCTTATTTTGCTTCTATGTATAATGTAAGTTGACTGGGATGGTGGTATGATTTGGAACTAAGCACTTATTTCCTAACAAATAGTTGTATAAAATGTCAAGAATCGATCGTTGATGGTAGATTGAAATAAACCGTTCAATGAGTCTTGTTATTAGCCTTCAAATAAGGCCAAGCTATTTGGGACTTGAACTAAAATTATATACATTTCCTAATTATAAGGAATCTTGCTTCTCTTGCCCAAGACGTCTACCAACAAAGAAGAAAATGACACTAAAAAGTTACATAAAAAAACGAACACTACAAACGACGAGCAAGCATCTCTTGACGCCGCATCTCGGCCCTAAATCGAGATATGAACTCATCGGCCTTCTCGTTAATTCCGTGCATTTGTGCCGAATCTACCCCTACCGACTCCCACATATCATCCGCGCTAATCACGCAGTGATGGTGTTCCTCAACTAAGCTTAACTCGACAACCTCACCCTTGTCTGTATTACTCGTCGAACTTGGCGTCTCCTTGCTGGAAAATTCTTGCTTTTCCACAATCGGCACATGATCACGTCTTTTGACGATGCAAACGGGCTCGATAAAAAGTTGGTCGACAAAAACGGGAGGCGGCTTTGTACGGGGGCCGACTAAAGAGTGGTGTCTTTTAGGATTTTTCTTAAACTTCTTGGGTTGAATGGAGAGGGATGGCAAAAGGCCAAGCTTCTTTTTCTTGGTAGCTTTGTAAGATGATAAAGTGTTGGTGTTTTTCTTGGTTGCTTTTGATCTATTGAGTCTATTTTGGAGCTTGAGAGGGAGGTTTGTTTTGAACAACTTCCAAAACTTTTTTGGAGGAAACAATTTCTTCAAATTTGCCCAAGACATTTGGGGAGATTTTTGAGGTTGTCTAAGGGAGCTAAATGAAATAAAAAAAAGTGGTGGGAGTGTAATGGATATAAGTTACAAGTTTATATAGAATTTTTATTTGTAAGGGAATCAAATGTGGGCACAAACTTTGTCATGAAGTAATAGTTGAATAGTATGTAATTAGCATAATTCTTACGCTAATTTCAAGTGTTTGTGACAAAAAAAAGTGAGTAGAAGCATGTGGACTTGTGATTAGCGACAGATCTAATCTGATTGTGACGTTCAACTAACATTTTAATATTTAGCTCGAAAATGTATAGCTCGAAAACTAATTGATAAGTCAATTGTAATGAAAATTTCAACGACTTTTTCAGAAAAACTATCTAAGAAGCTTGCAGGATAAGTTTGAGTTTTTTTTTTTTCAAATAATTTATCCTATCAAACCATGTTGTAAATACAAAAAACTTATAAATTAATTTATGATGCTTACCGAACACTCTTAGCGAGTTTTCTAATAAGAATACACTAGTTTTTGTGAACCCCTACCTTAACTATAAATTTAGCTTGAATTTACAAGTATTGGATTTACAAGTATAGCATAAGTTTTTTGTTTCTAAATTATTTATAGCAGAACTAAGTAGCACATCAACAAAGTACTTTTCCTATAGAAGAATAAGCCATATTTGTAGATGCTCTACAAGAACCAGGTTCTTGCTCTTTCTATATGTTGTTTATTAGAACAAATTAATGGTGTTTCAGGAGGTGATTATCAAATTTAAGTCCACATGGATCAAACTTGGATGTACAATATTACAAGATATTAGAATAAAGGCTCTTTTTTTAAAAAAATAAAAAATAAAAATAAAAATCTTCTCTTGTTCGTTTGTTGGATTATATAAAACTAGCTGATAAACTAGCGTATAACTTACCAGTAATTTTTGAGCTTATAGCTTGTAGCTTATGACTTATAGTTGAGAAATTAACTTATATGATAAAAGTGTTTGGTAAAATTTGCAGATAAACTAGCTGAAATAAAAATTTCAACGAGCTTATTTGAAAAGCTACACAAAAAAGTTTATCAAATAAGCTCGAGTTTTTTTTAAAAAAACTCGTCATACCAAATGGAGCTTATTTGAAAACAGAGAACTTATAAACTAAACAAATAAGCTATAAGCTATCTTATTCGTCTACCAGACGTAACCTTTATCTTATCAAAATGGTTTAAAGGTCAGAGTTACCAAATATACACTTCCCAAACATATATTACTATTTTTATTATAATTACTATTTTTATTATAATAATATCAAAATCGATGTCATCACATGATTTGGTAAATCAATTGATTACCGCAAACCAGATTAACCTTTATGGACTTTCTCATTTTTTTTTTTTTTCAACTTTCTCTTTGCTTATTTTTATTTATTCCACTTTTGTGTAATTGTACAGAATATTTATTGCTTAGAACTTACGTACTTCCATTCGTGGCCACTAGTGCAATATTTAATGCTTACAACTTACGTAACATTTTCGGTTGTAAATATTGAAAACTAGTATTAATACTCATTTACAACATGGATGTTGAATTAACGAATATATGTATAAAATTATTTATGTCTAATACCAAACCTAACTCCAGAGCAAAAATAATATAAAAAACATCACAAAGTATAGATTTTCGCCATGTCAACATCCGAAGCGTGAGAATCTGCCACCTAAGCTCAAAACGTTTGATTAATATATAGGGAGGAATTTCATTGAGGAATCATCCAATCATTACTATTACTATTTCACTAGGGACTCATTTTTTTTTTTTTTTTTATATTATGACATCATTATGTTATTTTTGAAAAAAAAATATATATTAGGCAAAAAAGTCACAAAAATATACACAAAAAATACATTAGGCAAAAAACCCACAAAAATGTACACACCTAGTCAACTTCTCTTTTTACAAAAAAGCTCTTTTATAAAGATATATACGTAAGTCAACATATTGAGACTAGAGGAATGTTAGTTGTTTGTAGTTGTTTGTGTGTGGAGTAATAGAGTCCATGTCGATCCTGTCCTTCGAGCTTCCGAAATCTCTGCTAACAAAGGAAAAGCAACGAAAATTGGTTGGGATTAATTGAAGGATACTCGAACTGTCCAAGTTCGGGCATAAAAAAAGCAGTACCAAGAGGAGCTAAGGACCAACTACCGTAGTGTATACTCAGTTGGCGCAACGATCGTGTATGAGGAGTTGAAAAACAAGGTTATTATTCCCAACCCGAAACCAATGCGAGCAAGCGAAGACCAACTGGATAAGTCGAGATATTGCGCATATCACAAATCCATCGGCCATAACACTGGCCAGTGCTACAATTTGATTTATGCCCTTCTGAAGTTAATCGATGACCCACAAGCAAAGAAATTTACAAAGAAATCCCAATGGAAGAAAGAGAGGTCGAGTAGACGATGGCCCGGACCATGAAGACGACAGATATACCGAGGTCAACCTGAAGAGACTGAGAAGATCACCGCAAGAGATTCTGACTTTTAGTTAGGGCCAACAACAAGGAAACTCCTCTCGAAAGATGAAGCGCATACGAGACTCACCACCCCACATGAAACTCCAATTAGACCGACCACAGTCCAGGAGGACCTCACCGGTCCACCTCAACACCAGCCGAGGAGGACCTATCATTTCTCAGAGGCATCAGAGATGGATAATAATACTATACTGAAATATATAAATTGTAGGGTGTTTTATCATTTCATTGTGAATTATTCAAAAAAAAAAAAAGTATATAAAATTTATATATAATGGTAAATTTGCATGTCTTATTTTGTGCCAATTTTTTTTTTTTATTTTTTTTTATCTTTTTTCAATTACCACAAAATTTGGCCCCACCTCATTCCATTCACTGGATCCGCCCCTGGTTGAGTTGTTCGATCATCCCCACTCGGACGCATTGGTCCTGACGGCGTCAATCAATCACATATTGGTGCACAGAATCCTCGTGGATACCGGGGCTTATGCAAGCGTCTTGTACCTGAATACCTTCAAGAAGATGGGAATTGATCCGAAGGAAATCCGACCCTGCAATGACGAAATACAAGGATTTGACGGTGGGGTCACCACACCCGAAGGAGAAATAATGTTGCCCATTCGGTTCGGAGGAGAGGGCCCGATCTCAAAGACAATTTTGGAAACGTTCAAGATTATCAAATACGAGAACGAATACAATGCCATCCTTGAAAGAACAGCCTTGTACAAACTCCGAGCGTATCCATTTTCCATTATTAATTGAAATTCCCAATCGCGGACGGGCTTGGAGTCCACTACGGGGACCAAAGGGAAGCCCGTGAATGCATCCTAGTGATTCCCTCATTGGAGATACATACTGCCGAAAACGTCGAAATTCCAGAACCGAAGGAGGTGGAAACCGAGTTGGGAACACCCGAGCAACCTTTACCACAACAAACGATGCAGGAAATCCTGATGACCGACCCCACATAGGGTCAAGCACCCTTACGTTTGCCAACACCCAGTGGTTCTAATTCGGATGGCAGATTTGCAGGACTGAGGACGACGGCCGGGCAAAGAGCCCATGAAGGAAGGAAGAAGACTACTCCCACTAAAGGTTATTTTTCACTCCTCCAAATTCGACTAATTTTTTAATTTTTTTAAAGGCAAGCTGTTAAAAATTCAGCAAATAGTACAAAAATAAATAATTATCCTACTTGTTACTCCAAATATTCACAAACACCTACAATTTTCAACTGGTTTATCTCTTGATCATCGAATTTTGCTTGCCCAAACACTTACTTGAAATTCGACTCCAACAGCAAGTCCAATAATCTCGAGAAATCGAGCTCTTCACCTCCATTATTTTCTAACTAAGCAAAATTTAAAACACACTGACACAACAAAAGAATGCCAACAAATGTACAGTAAGTTCCCACACAACCCCAAATCGAAAAACCATCAAACAAATAAGATTTAAATTTGAAAAATCATCACAGAGATCTGTATTAGGAAAAGCAAAGTCACTTCCCTTGTGAAAAACAACACATCTGTAGGAAACTTTGCACCACCCAGCATCCAGAACTTCAAGCAAAACGTACCAAAATTTGACTTTGGAAATTGAAATTCGACGAGCACCGACATCCCTTGGCGAAAAAAATTACCCCAAAAATAAACACACGCAAGTAGTGCTGTAAACGAACCAAACCAAACCGAGCTTGGGTTGTTCGAGTTCGTGTTCGTTTATGTTCGAACATGTTTGTGTTCGTTCGTTTATTTTTCGAGCAAAAAATTGTTCGAGCTCGTTCGTGTTCGAATAATTTAATACATAAACTTTTCAAGTATGTTTGATTGACTCGAAATTTGTTCGTTCGAACTCGTTCGAACTTGAAAATAAAAAAACAAAATAAAAATATTTTTATATTTTAGATTTTTATAAAAAATATTATGTAAATTTATCAAAAATAAATTAAAGTATGCTACATTAATGTTCGTGAACATTATCGAACGTTCGCGAACGAGGTCGTGTTCGTTTGATTATTAAATGAGCCTCATTTTCTGTTCGAACTCGGTTCGATTAACAAACAAATGAATTTTTGTCGCACACAAACGAGCTCGAACGAGCTTTGTTCGCAAACGTTCGGGTTCGTTTGTAGCTCTACACGCAACCATCAAAATGGCGCGTTTTGTGAAAAGCCACACAAAAATCTCAACACGGCCTCCGTTTCGTTAAAATACGAACAAGGAAAAATGAGACATACGTCGTCCATATACGAATTAAAGCTCACAAAAACTTGTGTTTTCTTGTATGAATGAGAGGATATACAATAAACCAATCTCCAAAAGTATAGTGACCTGGACATTCCAAATTGCAACCTTTAGGATAATATAATAATTTAAAAAAAAAAATAAAAATAAATGCATGATAAATGTAGGAAAACTTGAAATAATTCCCCCAACTAAACCGCAAATGGAATTGGTGTCGGCCAAGGTGGATGCATGAGAACAAAG